AAAGGAAGCAGGGGGTAGAGGCAGAATTTGTACAAAGGCACATCAGAGCCAAAGACTTCAGGGAGAGTTTCCCATCGACTGGGTGAAGGAGAAGAGATGGTAAAATACATAGCAGTGGTTGCAAGCGTCCACCATGCCAGTGATGAAGTGAATCCACGCTGGGTTTTAGTACAAACTTTCAAGGCCATGGCAGTTAAAGTGGTGTCAAACGGCATTATTTCTGCAGTGCAGATGCAGCCTACATTGTGGAGCTTCCAAAAAAAGAAAAAAGAAAAAGAAAACCATACAAATCAGTTGAAAACACACTATTTCCCACTTCCAAAATAGTTAACTAGAAACAGTGACCAGGCAGTAGCAATTGTATAAGGACATTATCACACGAGGAGTCGCGGGGAGAAAGTGGAAATAAACGGGCACGAGCGGAAGTCTTTAATTTACGGGATTTGTCCCGTTCTGCCTCGTCTGATAACTAAATTCGAATTTAAAAGGGGGTTAATTCAAACAAAAACCTGATCTTTTCATTTTCGGGATTTTTGAGGATTTGAAAAGATCAGGTTTTCGTTCAAATTAACCCCCTTTTAAATTCGAATTTAGTTATCAGACGAGGCAGAACGGGACAAATCCCGTAAATTAAAGTCTTCCGCTTGTCCCGTTTATTTCCACTTTCTCCCCGCAACTCCCCGTGTGATAACGTCCTATGCTGCAAGTCAAGTTACTATAATGTTTGGAACGGTTAAAGAAGTCTAATGCGACCTGACGTCTCTGCAAACCTTCAGAGAAACTGTCCACTTGAAATTCCTTCAAAGACGCTGCTTTCTAAAGTCAAAATGACTACATCTGATTTCCTGTGATGAAGCACTGAACACCTCTCTGGTGTCGGCACATGTGTGTAAGCTGAGAATGAATTTTCACACACCGCTGTAGATCCACCAAGATGCAGATCTGTCACGCTGCAGCATACAAAAAGGACATGGATGGAAAGGATTCCTTGTAATGTACAATGCCTTAGTACTCCTAAATCAGGGGTTCCCAACCTGGGGTTCCTGCACCCCCAGGGAGTGCGAGATGAAATTTAAGGAGGTGCGACAAAGATGCTTATGTGAATTTAGATTCAGTTCTCTTTTGTCAGTCCAAGACAAAATCTTGGAATTAACTGAATATCGCACTCTGCAAGGAAGTCCCACCTTTTGACAAAACCATGAATGAGAAGCGGGAGCAAAGAAGTCATTGAATTTTACGTTCACAATTGGGATTAATTTTGCTATTTACATTTTTTTCCTGAATAAACTTGAATCTATTGGTCAGTTTAGATTTGCATTCTATGCACTGAGTTAAAAGCTGATTTTTTAAAAAGTTCAGTTAGTTCACCTGCAGTATTGTATCTGGTTCAGTTTGTGGTTCAAAAATTAGAAACTAGACTTCTTCATCTTCAAATGTGATATTACATTGTGACAGGAATGTGATAGGAAGCATGAACATAATCAAACATTTCCTAGGGGTATGGGGCACAGAAAAGATTGGGAACCACTGTCCTAGATCCATCTTTGCCACTGGAGGCCCAGATAAACTCTATGTCATGGAGTACATGGGGTCAGTTTTGACTGGTCCACCAGTTATGGCCTTTCCTGAATAGGGAATGTGTATTAATAATAATAATAATAATAATAATAATAATAATAATAATAATAATTTTTATTTATATTTCCCACCTCTCCCTATGGATCCCTACAGTAATACATACACTTGTAACTTCCCACTTAGACTACTGTACTGAACCCTATGCGGGGCAGCCCTCAAAGGTTATTCAGTAACTGTAGCTAATGCAAAATGCAGCAACTGCTAGCCTGCTCATTGGAACTCTATTCAGAAATGATATAATGGTAGTTCTGAATGAACTGCATTGGTTGCCAATATACTTCTGGTTTGAATTCCATGTGTAAAGCCAAATAGCTTTGGACCAGTGGCATATATTGGGGCTGGTGTGGGTCATTTTTAAATATGCCCATCCTCTCTTCAACAGCTTTTTATGGGTCTGGCAGAGCTGCTGGCTGGGTTCGAAAGAGAGGTGACTCATTTTATTGCCTGGACAGCAGAGCCCCCAGACCCAGAAGACAGCTCAGTCCCCCCAGGTGGGTCTGAGGGCTCTGCTGGCCAGGTGGCCACTGGTGGAAGTGGGCTGTTCCTGCCACCCCACGGCCTTTTACGGATCCGATGGAGCTGCTGGGTGAGCTCTATCATCCAGCCAATAGAGCCCCCAAATGTAGAAGACAGCCCTTCCCACCAAAAGAGTTACAAAGGTAGGAGATGATTGCAGTACTAATAAAAGTGGCTTACCTGAGCCAGTTTAAAATTTAAAACAGGCGGCATCTTGATGTTATCACAAGGATTTTACCACCAAAATCACCACCTGGGTGCAGCCTGGGTCCATCCCCATTCCTGGGGCCGGTCAGTGCACCTTTTTCGAAGCCGGGAGTTTCCAGCTTAAGTTTCCATAGCCAAACTGGTCTTGCCTCTTCATTTCCACACACATTGGAATGTCTTTGTTCATGAACAGTTTACAATGTCTTTGTTCATGAACGATCATTGTTAAAACTGGACTTGCTGGTTCATTTCCATACACAAAGGATTTTGGATTTAAATTGACATTCTCACATACCAATGGTATATATATGTTGGTCCCTGGTTTCCACTCCACTAAATGCATCTGAGGAAGGAGACTGAAGTCTAGGAAAGCTCATGTTGCCAACTTCTTTATTTCAGTTAGTCTCAAAGGTGCTACAGGATCTCTCTTCATACTATTTCTACAGACTAACCCCCTTGAGGTGTCACCCAGTGTGGTCTGAACCCCCTGCAACCCCTTTGTGACACCCCTGCTAGGGACCTTGATACCTGAGAGAGAACGTCTCCCTATATATGCTCTCCGAGAATTGTGGTCTATTGGACAGGTCCTCCTCTGTTGTCTCAGTGGAAGGAGTTAAACATTGTCAGCAGATATGAGAGAGGATCTTCTGGTAATGGCACCCCAGTTGAGCAATGCCCTCTCCTTAGATGCCCAACTGGTATACCAACATTGGTATAATTGTGGCACCAAGTCAAAACTTGTTTTTTTCTTTTCATCTAAAGCCCTCAGGTCTAATTGGTTTTACCCAGGCTGCACATGTGCTATGGTTGTACTATTTAAAATTGTTTTAATCAGTTTTAAATTGTTTGTTTTTTAATAAACCATGATCTTGGGCAAGTCACATTCTCGCAGCCTCAGAGGAAGGCAATGGCAAACCTCCTCTGAACAAAGCTTGCCAAGAAAAGCCCATTATACGTTTGCCTTAGGGTCACCAGGATTTGTAAGCAACTTGAAGGCACACAACAATATTGGCAAGATATTTTTAATCTTTTAGAAATGTTATTTATTGTTTAATAGTCTTCTCTCTCTCTCTCTCTCTCTCTCTCTCTCTCTCTTTTTTTTTTT